TGACTCAATAATGACTTAGTAACTTGGCAATATTAAGTATTGAAAAAGACGTAGTTAATACCTTAAATTTTGATAGTTTAATTGATGCATTTGCAGCAGCAAAAGCACGAAAGGTTCATATAATGTAATCACGAATACCAGAATTCTACCTGTACAAGATCTAGTTAAGTATATGTACAGTTTTGTAAACTAATAAAATTTGTTATTTGTAAACTTAAGTTGTATTTTAGCAATCTGTTTTATAATCCATGTACACCACAAGTGATTGGCTTCTCATATAAAACATAAGTTTCAAAACTAGGGATATAACAGAAATTTATTCTACATGCTTGAAAGATTACTCTAGCTATGTGATTTTGAACAATACTGGATGACATAAATAGCAAAATGGTTTACAAATTATGTAAGTACACCTAGGATGCTATACTTCATTAGTTTCACGTTTACAGTTGTGATATCGTGAGATGTTATTTTGTGACTTTATTTTAGGCCTTTGTAAAGCGGTAATTAATTCTTTATGTTATTGTCATTAAGTGGGTAATGAGTCATAAAACAAATAATCAAAACATTTCAGAGGTGGGGGCACCAAAAGTGTCTTTGCCCCTGGGTGATGAGAATTTTTGCTACGCCACTGCATTTACTTTAATATTCAACTCTCTTTAGTGAAATTCCAAAAAAATGCTGTAACAATCAGTTTTCGTACAAGCAAAAAACATTAAACAATTACTGTAAAAATCAAGATTTGTCTGATCAATATAAATATAAAAAGTACTGTAAAAATCACGTCCGATTGATATGGATTCAATAATTACTGTAAAAACCACATGTTGTCTGACCAATATAAATATAAAAAGTACTGTAAAAACCACGTCTGATTGATATGGATTCAATAATTACTGTGTAAATCACATTTTGTCTGACCAATATAAATAAAAAAAGTACTGTAAAAACCACGTCTGATTGATGTGGATTCACTAATTACTGTAAAAATCACACGTTGTCTGACCAATATAAATATAAAAAGTACTGTAAAAACCACGTCTGATTAATATGAATTCACTAATTACTGTAAAAATAACATTTCTTCTAATTAATAAAAAATCTACAATTACTCTAATAAGCTCACTTAGATGAACAAAAGAAAACATCCATTATTTAGAATACATCAGTTTGTACAAAATGAAACAGGCTTTTATTTCCTTCAGTAATTAAAACATCACATTTAAACGGTCAGTGTTGAAGCATGTTTAAGATGTGGTTTAGTAAAAACCAAAACGTTAAAGACCTTAGTAAGGTTATTCTTTTTCTGTACCAATGCAAGCAGAAGAACGTATAATAGGCAAGTGATCTAACTGAACAGTGAAAGCAATACTTAATCCAATATGAGCAGAAGACTGTATACTGTGTAAAGGCTCTAAATAAACCAAGTAAACCATAGTATTTACGGGTTTTGAGTCCTTTTTAATTCACCCCGCAGTATCCTAAATTAATTTAGGTATGTGAATAATGCTGATGAGCCTTGAAAAGGCGAAAGTGTGGTCCACAGCAGAGGGTACGGCCAATCAAAGAATGCATTACGTCTATACGTCACAGATTCTCTTTTCAATTTCACCTCTGGTGAAAGAGAAAAGAAATGTTTAATACACACACATATATAAAGTAAAATATACTTCATCCAATACAAGCATGAGCTTGTAGAATATATAAAGACTAAATAAAGTAAACTATACTTATTCCAATATAAGCAAAATATTGTATAATAGGTAACGACTTTAAATAAACAAAATATACAATACTTAATATATTATAAATAAAAAATTGTATAATAGATAAAGACTCTAAATAAACAAAATAAACTGTGCTTAATCCAATGTGAGTAAAACATTGTATAACATGTAAAAACTCTAAATGAGCAATGTAAGCGATACTTAATTCAATATTAGCCGAAGATCATAAGAGGTACAGAACCTAAATGAACATTTTAAGTATTACTTCATCAAATGTAAGCAGGATTTCGTAAGAGGGAAAGGCGAAATTAACACTGTACGTGGCTCATTTTAAACTGAACAAAACAAGTGTTTGTTATACGAATAGTGTTAGGAATACTTATATTCCGGATGAACAAAACAAGTGTTTGTTATACGAATAGTGTTAGGAATACTTATATTCCGGATGAACAAAGCAAGTGTTTGTTATACGAATAGTGTTAGGAATACTTATATTCCGGATGAACAAAGCAAGTGTTTGTTATACGAATAGTGTTAGGAATACTTATATTCCGGATGAACAAAGCAAGTGTTTGTTATACGAATAGTGTTAGGAATACTTATATTCCGGATGAACAAAGCAAGTGTTTGTTATACGAATAGTGTTAGGAATACTTATATTCCGGATGAACAAAGCAAGTGTTTGTTATACGAATAGTGTTAGGAATACTTATATTCCGGAGGAACAAAACAAGTGTTTGTTATACGAATAGTGTTAGGAATACTTATATTTCGGATGAACAAAACAAGTGTTTAGTTTCGTTTCAGTTTACTTACTGATTATAAGTATTTTTTTACAAGTTGTAGTTTTTACAGAATGTTTTAACACGTACGACGTTTCGATCGCTGGTTCCTGTGTACTTGAAAATGCTAGCACTAGCAATGAGAACGTCGTACGTCGTACTTGTTAAAAATATACATATTCCTTACAGTGAGAACTGTAACTTGTAATCAGTAAGTGGACTCACCTTACTGTGAGAACTGTAACTTGTAATCAGTAAGTGGACTCACCTTACTGTGAGAGCTGTAACTTGTAATCGGTAAGTGAACTTACCTTACTGTGAGAACTGTAACTTGTAATCAGTAAGTGAACTTATCTTACTGTGAGAGCTGTAACTTGTAATCAGTAAGTGAACTTACCTTACTGTGACAACTGTAACTTGTAATCAGTAAGTGAACTTACCTTACTGTGAGAGCTGTAACTTGTAATCAGTAAGTGAACTTACCTTACTGTGAGAGCTGTAACTTGTAATCAGTAAATGAACTTACCTTACTGTGAGAGCTGTAACTTGTAATCAGTAAGTGAACTTACCTTACTGTGACAACTGTAACTTGTAATCAGTAAGTGAACTTACCTTACTGTGAGAACTGTAACTTGTAATCAGTAAGTGAACTTACCTTACTGTGAGAGCTGTAACTTCTAAAAAACAAGTATAGTATGTGATGAACGAATCATAAACGAACAATGAATGTCGTTGATACAATAAATGGACAGTTGATTTATAGATTTTTACTTATATTTTCTTGACATAGTTTGTAAATTAGTATGATGTATACACTTTTAGTTTAATTTTACTTGACATCGTTTCTAAATGAGTAAGCTTTATGGACTTTTAGTGGTATTTTTTGACATATTTTATAAATCAGCATGATCTATAGGTTTTTAGTTATATTTTCACTCCATAATATTGAAATGTGTCCTTTGAAAGATTAAACAGGCCTGTGATGATTTTATTGTCTTGAAATGTTTACATGTTCTACAATAACTCCTGTACGCTGAATCCGAAAATGATATACATTTTTCTCCATCACATACAGATTTTTCACAAAACTTCATAACGCAATACACAAAAGAAAGACCACAACACGTAGTTTTGAGACTAAAAGACGTAGATTTCACAAAAATATCAGGATGAATAAGGATGCATATTCGTTTTACATCAACGTTCTTCTCTTCTCATCAGTTTATTTGTATTTTTGTTAACAAATATAATAATAAAAATTTTTTTATTGTGGTAAACGAAATAATAATTTAATATAAGTAAGAGTTTTTTTTTCCCGATTTGTAAAAGATCCTTACGTGATAGAAAAAAAATATTATTTTCGAAATCTGCGTAGCTGAATTATAGAAAATCCATTATTAAAACCAAAACAACTTTTATGTAGTATAAATTCGCACGCCTGTGTTATTTTTATCGTACTTATATCAAGTGCATGTAATTAAAATTACTATAATATTTCTATATATTTCAACTTATCTTGCTAACTGAACATGTTTTAGTTTGGAAAGTTAAATGTACAAAATACTGAATTTTCACCAGTTATCTGTATATTGTCTTGTAAATAGAAATTTTAGAAATAACTTTTTAAATTTAAGACTGTAGATAATATGAAGTTCATACTTAAGTTTGAGACATAACTATAAAAATTACTACAAACAATATAATTTATTGAAAATTGTTTAATAAATCTGACAGTCTTACGAAAAAAACTACAAGTTTACGTTTCTGGTATAAAATTCTCTTTCACTAAAGACTTTCTCACAGTGATTCTTTTAAAGGCGCAAAACAAGAACCTGGTGAAACATAGCAGAAATTCGTAGTAATTTAAAATCCTGAAGTAAGGTATTAGAATTTTCTAGCAAGTCAAATCTTGAGGAAATATAAGAGACTTTTCTAATTGTTTATAATTGGTTTCGTGAAACTATAAAAGGCTTAAACACAACAACAAACTTTAAAGTGATTCGGTGAATAACAGAACAACGACGTCCCATCTACTCGAACCTTTTCAAACTTTCATAGACCATTCGGAAAAGTCACATTTAGATCAAAAAGCAAAATAAATGCACAATTCTTTGAAGAATTAATCACATATAATCTTACATTTCGATAATTAATCGAGAAATTGTAATAAATGTTTAATCCAGCAGAAAATGGGAGGAAAAGTGGTTTATAGTTACAATAAAAAACTCGTGTTATTATAAAAGTGGTTTATAGTTACAATAAAAACCTCGTGTTATTATAAAAGTGGTTTATAGTTACAATAAAAAACTCGTGTTATTATAAAAGTGGTTTATCTGACCAATTTAGGAAAACTTATATAGAGACCTGTTACTTTAACATGTTAAGTATTTAGTGATATGACACAGAAGACCGTCTGCTAACTTTACAGTCACAGTCACCTTAACATGTTAATGATAAGTACAGTAGTGATGTAGGACAGAAGACCGTCTGCTAACCTTACAGTCACAGTCATCTTAACATGTTAATGATAAGTACAATATTGATGTAAGACAGAAGAGCGTCTGCTAACCTTACAGTCACAGTCACCTTAGCATGTTAATTATAAGTAAAGTAGTGATGTAACACAGAAGACAGTCTGCTAACTTTACAGTCACAGTCACCTTAACATGTTAATGATAAGCACAGTAGTGATGTAAGACAGAAGACCGTCTGATAACCTTACAGTAACAGTCACCTTAACATGTTAATGATAAGCACAGTAGTGATGTAAGACAGAAGACCGTCTGATAACCTTACAGTAACAGTCACCTTAACATGTTAATGATAAGCACAGTAGTGATGTAAGACAGAAGACCGTCTGCTAACCTTACAGTAACAGTCACCTTAACATGTTAATGATAAGTAAAGTAGTGATGTTAGAGAGAAGACAGTTATCTTTATCATTGATGTTAAGAAAGATGGAGAACCGTGTTATTAACTAGAAACCTTGAATGTGACAACTTCTTGAGGTCTTAGTTACAGGAGTTTGAATCATTTTTTACTTTAGTAAATCGAAAAATGCTGGAATTAACCGACAACAGTATATAAGTAAGCAATTTCTACGTTTAAAACTTTCTCAGTTGCCAATATCCAATCTGAAGGAAAGTCAGAATAAACAATCAAAAGGCTGTATCAGCGCATAAAAGACTTGTAATAAACTTGGTTTGAATACTAGTGTTTTTTTTGTGTGTTTTTTAAGAGTCGCTTTCTTGAAACAGGTTAAGTCAAGAACTTGAGGCCCGGCACAGTAGGGAAAGATATAAACGCTATCCCTCAGTCGTTTTTTTCTGACTTCCTATTATGGACGTTTCCACTCTTTGAAATAATTCCGTTAAGCAGGGTTCCATTGTTGAAGTGATTACTTCCATTGTTTATGTGTTTATTGAATGATTTACTGTCCTGCCCAACACCACAAACATGATCCTTTTCATTCTTTTTAACATAGGAATGGACATAAAAGTTGAGGAACAATATCAAGAACAAGACGGCGTGGCCGAGGATGGCGTAAACAAATCCAGGATGGAAATCACAGTCCAGAAACAGGGGGAGAACGGCATGAAGTCCAATCAACACAAACTGAACCTGGAAACACAACAATATCAAATTAAGAACAATGTACATACTATAAGCATTCAGTGACAAAGAACGTATACATCAGATGCACGGGTGCCCACAGAAATATCTTCAAGGTGGGTCAAAACATATACGTAGGAGATAAGCTTTTACAGTGAAAGTCAACAGACAAAAATAATATGCGTTATGTGTACTTAAACAATAATAAAAATTGAGTTTTAATAAGAACTGCTACAAATATTTAGTTTAACTACGATGCTAAGTTTGCATCATAATACGTGTGTGTGTGTGTGTGAAATGTAAGGGAGCAAATACCCTTCCTGCAGGCGTCCATGATCAGCTGTAGATTGTCATTCGTCTAGTAATGTCGTAAGGATTTGGTTACCAGTTGTATCGTGTATAATGATCGACTAACCATTTACAGGTCAAATTTATTGGTTAAAAAAAAAGTGAAATCAGAATTTTTAGCCACGTCATAACGGCTCATAGAATGGCTCCAAGTACCGACTTTTAGCTCATAACACCATCTCTTGACCGATCTGAGATCTAATTACAGCCGCGGCTACTGAGGATTCCCTGTAGTTTTAAAATATACGTCTTCAATTTGAGATTGTTAAACATCCTTACTTGTAACAAGCAAGTCGTTAAGTTTTACGATTTAACCTTTAAGTATTATTACAAGACATTTACCAGCTGTGTAATGGTAACGTATTTAACTGTTAGGCTTTATTACGATAAGTTTACCATCTGTGTAATGGTAACGTATTTAACTGTTAGGCTTTATTACAATAAGTTTACCATCTGTTAATGGTAACGTATTTAACTGTTAGGCTTTATTACGATAAGTTTACCATCTGTGTAATGGTAACATATTTAACTGTTAGGCTCTATTACGATTAGTTTACTATCTGTGTAATGGTAACGTATTTAACTGTTAGGTTTTATTACAACAAGTTTACCATCTGTGTAATGGTAACGTATTTAACTGTTAGGTTTTATTACAACAAGTTTACCATCTGTGTAATGGTAACGTATTTAACTGTTAGGTTTTATTACAACAAGTTTACCATCTGTATAATGGAAACATATTTAAACCCTAGGTTTGATTACAAGACGCTTACCATCCGTATAATGGAAACATATTTAAACCCTAGGTTTGATTACAAGACGTTTACCATCTGTATAATGGAAACATATTTAAACCCTAGGTTTGATTACAAGACATTTACCATCTGTATAATGGTGATATATTTCTTCCACCACAAATAAGGTTTCACACGCGGTCCCAAAGCGGCTAGGCAGTAATAAGAGTACATTATCATGTGGACGAAACAGTTGATGAATGGAAAAAAAGCGTTGTGGCCACCTGGAAGAAAAAGAGAATAAATATGTATCAAAATACAGATTCGTAAAACAAGTTGAATATTTTACAAAAATATAGATTAAATATTTAAAAAATGTAAACTGAGTATTTCTTTCTTCCATTTGTAGTGTAAACAGTAAAGATGTAGAGCCGGTAGCTCAGTTTTACTATGACACAACTTGATATGCGAAAAAGAATAAACAAGTTGGTGAAATATTTTTTTGTTCCAACTGATCTTATAATATATATTATGTTTTGCAAGAGAACAGCCGGTTTGTGCGTCTTGTATCAGATGTCAGAACTACTGGTTAGATCAGGCCTATGTCCCTGTGTGTATCGCGTCTTGTATCAGATGTAATGTTAAGACAGTATTATTTTGTAGCATTTGAAGAAGGATAGCTAATAACATAATTATGTAATGGTGAGACGGTATTATGTTGTATGATTTGGAAAAGAATAGTTAATAATGTAATTGTATAATAACGAGACGGTATTATGTTGTAGGCCTTGAAGAAGCATTGTTAATAATGTAATTGTATAATAACGAGACGGTATTATGTTGTAGGCCTTGAAGAAGCATTGTTAATAATGTAATTGTATAATAACGAGACGGTATTATGTTGTAGGCCTTGAAGAAGCATTGTTAATAATGTAATTGTATAATAACGAGACGGTATTATGTTGTAGGCCTTGAAGAAGCATTGTTAATAATCATAAGTACGATAGTAGAAATTGGGAAGATGTGAAATACAAATTAAAATCTCAAACACAATGCAAACTGCATCTAACTAAAACTTTATAAACACTTTACACACATTGTTGAGTAGTAAATAAATCAACGACGGAATAAAAAACCAGCAAAGCGCTTGAGAAAGTTAATAGAGTAAAAGCAAAACTTTACATAACTACCAGTTTGTCAATCTGACTGACTAACGTTGTTGGAAAGGCACATATCTTCCCCCCCCCCCCTTCACCTTATGCAAATCTAAAGGCACTTGATTGAATTACCCTACCTTGGTTAAAAGTGTTTTTCTTAGTTTTACTTATAAACTTGGTAATAACAAGTGATAAGAATAACCATTTTGCAACATTACTAACGAGTTAACAATACACTAGTAGCCACATCCTATGATTACGAGCACGCTCTGTAAGTTTCCAAGTAACAACCCGCCCTGATATCACGTGCGGGTACACGATTGCTTATGCGCACGCGCTACGTGATCAGCTTGCGTCTGTATAAACTAGATAAAAAAAACGTGGACTGCGTAGATTCTCTAGATCTAGGTTCTAACTAAAATCTTATGTTGATAACCTTGAAAACACTTTGTCCCAGACTCACAACGAAGATAGCACTGTGCGAGAACAAAGATAAGGTTAAAAACAGTAATGCTGAATATGCGAAACAAGCCTTAACCACTAATCCAGCCAAAGAAAAGGCTGCTCCCTGGCTAGATGGAAGAAAAACT